CCCGGCTGCGGCTGCTCCCGGGGGCCGCTCCTGCCTCCACACGCGCAGCGTCGCCATCACGGCCTCGTGGTCCGAGTAGGGGATGGCCTGGCCCGGGGCTGTCCCCATGGTGGTCTGCAGCTCCTCGCACTTCACAGTGAAGTTGGACACGGCCTGGACAAAGCGGAGGGAGGGATGGGGATGGTTATGCCGCAGCCTCCTCCTCCCTGGAAACCACAGCCCGGCGCGGTGCATCAGCTCGCGCAGCCACGGGGATGCAGGGACTAGGAGCACATCCTTCCCTGGCTGGAGCGGGAGTAATGTGGGGACTGGGAGCACATCCTTTCCCATACAGAGCCAATCCCGACCTTGTAGAGGATGTAGTCGATGCGGATCCCCAGCGGGAAGGGCCGCAGCTCCGTCTTGTCAGTGAAGCAGTTGTCCGGGATGAGGGTGCAGCCGTCTTTGCAGCCCTGAGACCACAGCACGGGTGTCTCCGGCTCTCCCTGCCTGGCACTGCGGCGGGGCCGGAGCCGGAGCCGTCGGGATGGGGGGACGCTGCTCACCTCGAAGCGCTCGGCTTCGGCGAAGGCGTCGCGCAGCCACTCACGGGATGAACTGTGCCAGCTCCCAGGTCTGCACGAGGCGGTGCGGCAGGTAGGCGTCCTTGTCCCGGCAGTACTCGGCGTGCAGCTGGAGAGGGGACGACGCGGCCGTGACCCCCTCCTTGCTGCTCACTGTCCCCCTGCAGCCACTCCAGGCATCTCCTCAGGGACATTCCCAACCTTTCTGCTTTCATCCCACCCCAAATCCCAGCTCTGAGAGGCGGAGAGCACCCCCCATCCAGACCCCCATTCTCGTTCCATGCTAGCTCCTTCCTGGGCCACTCACGTGGGTCACATAGACGTTGAAGACGATCCCGGCAATCTTAAGTACAATGAGCCCTACGGATTTGCCACAGAACCAGTCTCCATGCTGCAGCTGCCAGGGAGAGAGAAGAGCGGGACGGGGCTGGCGCGACGTTCCCGGCTCGGGGACATGGAGCCACTCGCCCCGCTCACCATGTAGGGGTAGCCATTCAGCGAGTACTGGTGGAGGAAAGTGTCCAGGATGGGGAACTTGGAGAAGACGCAGAGGCCGCTGCCGATCACCCCGCTGCAGGACGGAGAGGCACCGTGAGCGGGTGCAGGTGCCCCGTCCATGCCACCCTCTGTCCCCAGGGAACAGGCAGCAGGGAGCCCGGGTGCCTGGGTTCCAGCACCAGCTCTAGCACCAGTTGGAACTCCTGAGCATCAGGGTCTCCAGGTTGTGTCCGTGATGGACAGGGAATGTAGAACCATGACTGAGGTGACCCAAAGGAGCTTTCCTGGCTTTCCAGGTCATCGTCACGGCATCCCCATGCCCAGGACACAGCCCCTCTCACCTCCTGAAGTAGTGCGAGAAGGGGCAGCAGCTTCCCAGCTTCTCCCGGAGGAGGCCGTAGTCCTGCTCGCTCCACACCTGGAGAAGCGCAGCGCGGGTTGAGACCCGGCACGCTCAGCACGTGCTCTGGCCGCGTGCCGCCCTCCTCGCTCTCACCTCCTGCAGCAGCACCAGGTCGAAGGGCTCCTGGCGCAGGGTGTCCCCGATGAGCCGCACGCGCTCCTGCCGACGCTTGCTCAGGTAGCGGATGCCCCTGTGGGAAACAGGGACCGCGGGGCAGTCGGAGCAGGGAATGTCCCTCGGATTTGGGCACCCAGGCGCGCGTATCCACACCCATCCTGGCCACTCCGGTGCCCACGAACCCTGTGCTCACCAGCAGTTGAGACTGAAGACACGGAGTTGCAGAACAGGATCTTCCTCCATGGCACCGAGCGGAGCCCCAGCGTGTCCGCTGGGAGAAGCTGCAGGAGATCCTGCAGGAATAGGCTGTGCTGGGAGCAGCTGGACAGTCACTCCAGCCCGGATAATCCTGCCTCCCACGGCTCTGGCTCTCAGCAGAGCACCCTGCTGTGGATTCGCTGCTGGCTAATATCGGGTTGAGCTCTTGCCACAGGTGGTTTCTTGTGGGGTCTCTTCTTCTTTCGTCTCTTTTTTTTTTATTTTCCCCCCCAAGAAACTTGCAGGAATTTCTCCTTCTTGAGGCTCCTGCTCTGCGCCCAAGCTCTGGGGAACTTGGAGCCGCTTTCCTCGAGCAACTGGGAAAAGCGGCTGCGACAGCAGCACCTCGGGCGGCGACAGCGACAGGCGCCCGAGCAACAGGCGGAGTTGGGTAACAAGCGGTGCGGAGCAACAGGCGGCTGCAGCAACAGGCGGTGCGGGTCAATGGGCGGCGCGGGTCAACAGGCGGAGCGGAGATACAGGCGGAGCGAAGGAACAGGCGGAGCGGGGCCGGGGCGGCCCCAGCGCCGGGAGCGGCGGGACTACGAGTCCCCCGGGAGCGGCGGGCCTACGAGTCCCGACAGGCAGCGCTGCGGCTCGGAACGGAACGGAACGGGACGGGAGGCGGAGAGCGGGATGGAGGGGGCGGGACAAGGAGCAACGGGAAGAGGGACAAGGAGCAAGAGGGAAAGGGCTGGGGTGCAACTGGGAGAGGGAAATGGGATGCAATGAGGAAAGAGGCAGGGGTGCAATGGGGAAAGGGACGAGATGCAACGGGAAGAGGGACAGGGAACAATGAGGAAAGGGAGAGGGTGCCATGGGGAGAGGGACGAGATGCAATGGGGAAGGGGAACGGGGTGCAATGGGGGGCTCAGCGCGGGGACAGGAGAGGAGCCACGAGAAGCGCCGGGGATGCAAGGGGGGTGCATGGGAGAGGGAGGGAAGCGCATGGGGACAGGGAAGGGGTGTCTGGGAGAGGACATGGGGGCACATGGGGAGAGGATGGGGGTGCGATGGGGAGAAGGTGCCTGGGGAGGGAGCAGGATGCAAAAGAGAGGTCCAAGGAGAGGGGTTGGGGACAAGAGAGGGTGACTTTGCCCCTTCTCTGGGGACAGGGCCACTCCTGTAAATACAATGTCTCAGGCTGCAGAAAGGAGGAAGGTTTCCATCACCTCCATCCTTTTCACTGTACAACGTGACGAATACGATGGAAAGCAGGAACCTCAGGACCATTTGAGCCAACCCATGAACAAATAATTTTAATGTTTTTTTCAGCAGACCGTAGTTTTCTCGGGAGCGCCACAGTCTCCTCACTTTGCAGTTGGACAGATACAGTAAACACAACAAATATATGATACAACCCATCACAGCTGGATTAAAAAAAAATACACAAAAAATATAATACATAAAAAAATGGATTTTTAACAATGTGGACTGACACAGCTCTAAAAATGGTGATTGTAACCCTGGAAAGCTTTACAAAGTCTTTAAAAAAATAAAACAGTACTTCATGTGAAATTCATAAATACACTGGAGGAGAATGGGGTGGGGGGACTGAGAAAGGGTCTCCGGGATCCAGGTGTGATCCCGTCCGTGCAGGCGGATGGGGATGCGGGATGGAGGGGGGGGGGCAGAGCAGTCCAGTTCCAGAGCACGTGGGTCCCCGCCAGGGGCGCAGCGGCCGGCGCCGCTCCGGGGCCTGGAAGGCGCGTGGGGAGGTTGGAGCTTGAATTCCCAGGGGTTGAGAGCGGCGAGTGAAAGGAAAGAAAACAAAAAAATAAAAGCAACAGCAACAAGCGAACATGCTACGGAGGAGAAGCCGCCGCTGCGCGGCGATGCTATGGGGACACGGTGCAGATGCAAAACGGCTCGGCAGCGGGGGCAGCGAGCCTATAGACATGTATTAAAAACCTCTGCCTCTCTGCAACCTGCCCCTGCCGCCGTTGTTCCTCTCCGGTGGGAGAATTCCCGGCAAACGGAAAGGTGCAGCCTTGGTGAGCCTCGTGCCGCTTGTTCATGCTCTCCCGGGAGCAAAACCCGGGCCAGGAAAACAGACAATGTGGAAAAAGCCAAAAAAAAAAAAAAAAAAAAGGGGGGAGAGGAGGGGGTAAAAAAAGAAAAAGCAGGAATATCTACAACCGCAATCCGCACATCTCCCATCGCGGCTCTCACCTCCTTCCACCCCGACAAGCTGCAGCAGGGGAGGCTGGAGCCTACGAGACTTCTGTGAACACCCACACCCATCGCAACAGCCACCACGAGCTCCCGACCACCCAGCGCTTCCTCTGCTTCCGGCTCGGCCGATCCCTCCGGGGCTTCGGCCGCTTCCCACCTCTCTCGGGATTGGAACCGGCAAACTCAGCTCTCCCGCCTTCCCCTTCCCAACGCAGTCTCTTTCCAAAACGCACTAAAACACACTTGAATTTTTTAAAAAAGGGGAAAAATTGACCCTTTTTCTTAAAAACAAAGCAGCTTGCACCCACTGCCGCCCCTCTGTCGACTTCTCCTTTTCCTTCTCTTTTTTCCAAGCTGGATATCGGTGCTGCAGGACGACCCTCCCACCGGCCTGCGCTCGACGCCTGCACAGCAGCATCCCGGCCTTGAGCAGCGCGCAGACACGGTCCTCCTTCCTCCACACAGACCCTTTGCCTTCCTGTTCCTCGTCTTCTTTTTTTCTTTCTTTTTTTTTTACTTATTAAAAAAAAAAAAGTTCCTAAGTAGAAAACTTCTGTGATTGCAAGTCAGTCTTTTCTTGGTTTTTTTTTTGCTTTTTGGCTATTTGCTTGTCTTCCTCCTCCTCCTTGCTCCAAAGGATTTTGCACGCGGGCGGCTCTTCTGCCCCCTGCCTCCCCTTGCGCCCCCCCTTGGCCGGGCCCGCGGGGACCCCTAGTCCTTGACCAGCTTGTAGACGTGGTGCTGGGCGCCGTGCTCGCTGGTGGAGACCTCGAAGACGAAGGCGATGCAGAGCAAGGTTTCCTGGGTATCCCTGTTCGTAACAACCTGCGGGAGAGCGACAGAGCCCGCTCAGGAGAGGGTGACACCAACAGGTGACATTTGGGGACAAGGTGGCATCGCCCTGGGTGCAGTCATCCTATTTGCACCATCAAAATGTGCCCTCTGATCCCAAAACGCCCTAGGGGTGGCCAAAGTGGGGAGGACTTTGGCTTTGAGCCTTGAACGTGCCCCAAGCTCCTTGTGACCCTCGGGATGGTTCCCAAAGCTCTATGCCGCCTTTGGTGACCTCCATCTGCCACGTCTCACACCATACGTGAGGATGGAGATGGCCTGTTACTCCAAATCGGGTCCTGTCTGTGTTAAACGGGTGCAGGGGAAGGAGAGGAGGTACCTGCAGGATGGTGAAATTCTCCAGGACGCTGTTCATCATGTACTTCTCCGGGAGGTGCTTGAGCTTGTGGATGAAGTTGATCATGTACTCGCACATGGGAGAGCGGTGGATTCGGTAGACGAACCGGCCGTTCTCCAGCCGCGCGTACTCTGTCTGCAAGGGACAGCGAGGAGGTGACACAACCGTCCCAGAACGGGGGACAGCGAAGGGCAGCGCAGCCTGGAAATACTGCAGGGAAGGTCTTGGAGACACCCTCTCTGCTCCACTTTTGGAGGTACCACGGCCCATTGAAGACATCACAGGAGGGTTGAGGTTGGAAGGGGCCTCTGCAGAGCATCTAGACCAACTCCTGGCTCAAGCAGTGCCACCCAAGGCCACCTAAGGCTGCCCATGATCCTGGGCGATATCTCCCCGCCACATGATGCAGTGGCTCATCCACCTGCCTTAGCAGGTACCCAGTGTCCTGTACTTCCATTCCGGAGCTTTATCCTTTCCACACTGCCCTGTGAGCCACGGGAGACCCCCATTCCCACAACACTCCCGACGGGATGGACTTACCTCCACTTTCTCCACCACCTGCTTGCCGAAGGAGCACACCTTGGTGGACACGGTGATGGTCATGTTCTCTGCACTGCTGTACTGGCTGCTCACACCGTAGAAAGTCCCTGGCCCGTCCTGGATGGTGCTGTTCAGATCCGCCTGGCACGGTGGGAAGGAGGGAAAAAGACCCTGTTATAAGTGAGGGCACCAAGGAGTGGCCCCATGTCCCAGGGCAAGGTGACACCATGGCTCGAGGAAGAGCCTGGCCCAGCGTCTCACCCAAAACTTGACGAGGAAGAAGGAGTTCTGGGGCCCACGCTCATAGAGCTCCTTAAGGCCGCCCTTCTTCTCGGGGAACTTGTCGTAGATCTGGCGGATGTCCACGGCCTCCAGGAGGGGATCGCTGTACGACGGGTTCGTCTGGCCGATGTGCACGAAGAGGTGTTTGCTGTACTGTAAGGGGTCGGCATGGCGGGGACACGGGTCAGGCGCCCGCCCGCGCTCCGGGCGATGGTGCGGTCCTGCCAGACGGGCACGGCCGAGGCGGCTGGCGGGAGCGGAGCCAGGGGCTCGTAACCTGCCCGGGAAGCGGCCGTGAGACGGGAAAGCTCGGCTTCTCCCGGGATCCTACCCTATGAAGTTCCATCTCCCATCCCAGCTGCTTTTCGCCCCATTTTGGGGCTGGGAAGGGACCACTTACTGGCTAGTGATGGAGGCATGGGTGGCTGGATGGGGTAAGCTGGCTGTGCAAACGGTTTAATGCTGGAAAAGAGAGCGCAGTGTTAGCAGGAGCTGGTCCCTTCCCCGGGGCGAGGGACGGCCTGTGGCCGGGGGGACTCCAGGTACTCACTCCTGAGAGGGTCCAGGCTGTCCTGGGATCGGCCCACTCCAAAACTGCGGGGGGAAACAGGGAATAGAGTCAGGAGTTTGCAAGGAGCGCCCCAGTCCTTCCTCCCACCCGCATCTTCCTCTGGGAAACGAGGCTGTTCCGGGCTCCGGCACCCCCTGTGCAGGGGGACGTATCCCGTGCCGTGTCCTTACCCTGGGGGCAGCAGAGAAGACAGCCTGAGGAAGAGGAGGAGGGGGGCTGAGCTTGTTCTGCAGGACGCTGGCCGAGACGATCTGCGCCGAGGACATGGAGGCCATGCTCTGCAGAGCCTTGTCCTTGGAGACCTGGTCCTGGCGAGGGGACAGACATGGGGGTTACCCAGGGCGCCGGAGGGACAGACAGACGCACCCTGACACCCCGTTCCTCATCCCCATGTCCTGGTGCAGCCCAGCTAAGGGAGCGGGGCAGGCAGACCCATAAGACCCCCGTCCCGTGTGAACCCTTCCATCTTGCTGGGCACAGAGCCTCATATCCCATGGGAACGACAGACCCTGCTCCACACTGGAGCCACCAGACTCCAGCACAAGGCAGGAGGCAACGGGATGGGGGACTGGGGGATGCAAGCACAAAGCCGACTTACCAAGTTCATGGCCTGTATGCAAAAGAAAGGAAAGGAAATGGTTAGAACATCAGGGGAGCAGCAGCACCCATACCCGCCCCCCCACAACACCCCTGATTTGGGGTATGAACCCCCTCTTGACCTGGCTGCATCCTCGTGCCTGCAATACCCTGGTGAAGGCACCAGGACTGGAGCCACCCCAGCCTCTCCGCTGTACTTTTCCATATCCTTTAAAACCCTTCCCACTTGCCAGGTCCTCTGCAATTCCCAACGGGGAGGTGGGAATAGAGCCAAAGGGGCCGTGCATCTCCGTTGGCAATCACCACAAGGAATATTTGCACCTCTCCTAAGCTGTCTCTGCATTTGCATGAGAAATGGGACCCCAAAAACTGCTGCTTTCTACTTTCTTTTTGCCTTTGCTAATCACACCGGGGCCGCTGGGGCATGGAGGTGGCCTTGGGGCAGGGGCGTCCCAGAGTTGCCCCATGCCCAGTGCCTGCCTGTATCAGCCTTGTTTTCCCTCTTAGGGAGCTCCAGGATGGATGGGCTCGATTTAACTGCTCTCGGGGCGCAGCAGGACGGTGCATTTGAAAGATCGAGATCGATCACGTCAGCTTGCGGGGCGGGAGTATCGGCTGTCACAAGCCGGCACATGCCGGGAGCCCGAGCAGCTCTGCACACAGGACTGCAGCTAAAAGAACGAGAGGAAACTCCGGAAAGGGAGTTTCAGCCCTGCGGGGCAGGCTCCTCCATGACCTGCTTCCAAAAAGGGCTGCACAGGACATTTTATGTCCAGGTCATGCTGCTCAGAGTGATTTTTCCCTCCTGTGGGCAGAAGCTGCAGGACATCCTGGGTGTTAAAACAGCCATCACTGGCTTTGGTCGTCCTCAAACTGCCCTGTCCCTTTTGGGGCTTGTTGGTGGCTTCAGCTTTCCCAATATCCAGAGCATTGAGCTGTGCCGCCAGTCGTGCACTGTGCAAAAATGCTTCCCAGGCCCTCATCTGTCTGCTCCTGGTCGCCCCTCGTCTAGACTGTGGCCACTTTTGCAGATACCCGGACCCACCGGAGCCTCCCGAAATTGTTTCGGGTGCCCTCTCCTGGCTTCTTGCAGCCAATCAGCCAGGAACGGCCCCTCCTGGCACCCTTGATGGATGGATGGATGGATGGATGCCAGGACCTGCCCAACTTTGCAGCCTGAACAAGCCCTGTCTCCACCCGCAACCCGCCCCCCCCACAAAAAAAAAAAAAAAAAAAGAGTGCCAGAAAAGGCAACTTTGTGGCCAAAATGACTTTTAGGGCTCCAGAGTCCTTGGCCAGGTGATGGGATGCAGGTCCTGTCTGGAAGCCACCTAGACGCTCCAGTTGGGACGGAGTTAGGAGCATCGCAGGATGCGGAGGCTCCTTTGGAAATGTCTCCAAACCTGCCCTCCCTCATCCTCCCCTCACCCAAACTGGGCCCAGTGGAAAGCGGTTAGGGAAAGGTTAGTCCACATCCAGTTAAAAGAGGGAAGGACAGAAAGAGAAGCCAACCAGAGAAGAGAGGATGCTCCGGGTCTTCCTCGCTCCGCTCCCTCGGCCCCTGGAACCACAGCCTGTCCCGCTCCGGTCACCCCGGATTTAGCGGGGGCTGCACCAGCCCTTGGTGCCCGGTGCTACCCAGGCTTCTGTGTTGGACCTTGCTCCACGCTGGTCCTTCCACCTCCTGGGAGAAGCCCAGGTGAGCCGGGAATCTCCCGTAGGACCCACAAGTGGCAGCAAGGAGGGGGTTAAACCCCCTAATGTAACAGGCTGGAGGGAAGGGGGCTGCCGCCTTTGCCCTCTGCGGGTGCCCACCCGGCTGAAAACATCTGGTTCCAGGAGCAGAGGGAGGGGGAAGCAAAGACATCCAAGGGGCAAGAGAGAGAGAGCGGCACACCAGTGAGCTGAGTGCGTTAGTCGTCAGCGCGGCCAGGGCGGCGGGCGGCGCGCGTACCTTCAGCTTGGACTGAATCTCGCGAGATTTCCGCCGGGCTAGAACCTGCAAGTGGCTAGAGACCTGCAGAGAGAAAAGCAGGAGGAGAGGGGGGGAAAACAGCAGAGCCGTCAACCAGAGGGGAAGAAGAGAGGAAGGAGAGGGGGGCTGCCCATGCTCATCGTCAAACCACCTGCCGCGGACGCATGGGCAAGGGGCGCCAACGTACCTTGATGCCAACCTGGTACTCCCGCACCTTCTTCCGAGCTAGAACCTGTATGTGGCTGGACACCTAGAGCCCGCCAAGCCGTTCGGAAAGGAAAACACAGAGAGAATGAAGACGTGTCCCTGGGCCGGGCCGGGCCGCGCGGCGCCGCGGGGGAAGCTCTGAGCCCGGCCGGCACTCCTGGAAATGCTGCTGGAGCTAAAGGGAGAGAAAGGGATAGGGGGGACCGGACAGATCCGCGATGAAGCCTCTGCTGCGCGGTCGGCATCTCTAGGGGGTTTGGGAAGGGAGCCGGCTCCGAGCCTGGCGAGGGGGCAATATCCCTCCAGCATCTGCTCCTGCCCCGCGGATGCAGCAGCTCCCAAGGAAGATACAGCCAAGATGCTCCTTAATTTTGCAAGATGAAGAGGTGGGAAAAGCACGCAGAGGTTTCCCTTCCAGACCCCTCTAGGGACGGGATGCTCATAGAAAGTGGCTGAATTCCGGAGAGCCGAGAAGCCCGCGGCGCTCCCTGCATCCCTGCTTTGCAGCTATCCTGAGGGTCCCTGCTGGGATGTGGGACCAGCACGGCACAAATTCCTCTCCTGTCCAGCATTGATTCAGCTTCATCCAGCCTCCAATGGGACTTTCCGGAACTCCAGCTAAAGCTCCCACAGTTGGAATAACTCCATGCTCGGCGCTGGCCCGGTGCAAAGCCCATGGGCAGACCGGGTTGAGGCCATCTCTGAGCCTCTCCAAAATGCCACTTCAGGAAGGATTTGCTCCTTCCCGCTATCCCAATCCCAGGGTTTGGAGGAAGCTGGGAAAAGACCCTTGCTCCCAAAGGCACGGCTGTGGGCAGCGACATGCAGCTGCTCCACGACATCCTTTCAGGAAAGGCTGGTTTTCTAGGACATATCACAATTCTGGCCAGCTGGGCGTTTTTCCCAAGCAGAAACAAGGCAGGGAGGAGGGAAGAGCCACCGGAGGCATCAAAAACGGGCAGGGCCCTCCAGGGCTGCAGGGAATTGCCCCGTCCTGGTTTGTCTCCAGCAGTAGAGCCGGAATGGACGCGACCCCGGTCCCGACGGCAGCAGCAGGACCCGCTCCCAGCATCTCTGCCCGCATCCCTTGACCCCAGGTTCTCCAGCAGAGCATGGGGCATAAAGCTGCTCTCCCTTTCCGTCCTGGGAAGGAGCAGAGCTGGAAAAGATCTCTGGATGCAGCCGGAGAAGCAAAAAGAGATGCAGCAGCCACAGATCCTGCTGAGTCGGAGACTTCAAGTCCGGCTCCAGCATGGAAAGAGAAAAACTAGCCCAATTTGAGCCAAAACCGCTCGGATTCAGACCCGGGCACCACGAGCTGATGCCTCCGCGTGCAGTGGGGATGACCCCGAATTCCCGGCAGTGCCGGGAGCCAGTGCCGCTTTGCCGGGAATGCGGCCGGCTCCAAGATGCTGCCTGCAAGGAGGGGGAG